ATAAAAGTAGGTGCCTGCACCTCAGTATTTTTACCTTCAAACTCTTCTGTAAGTGTCTCTTGTTTCTTGTTGATTGTTCCTGGGAGTTTTCTCTCTAATGTCTGTATCCCTGAAAGGTCCCTCATTCATTCAATCAATGACCATTACATTGAGGACTTGCTGAGAAAGAATCACTGTTTCACCTCCGCCACACCCAGCCCCCAGCTCCTCCCTTCCCTCCCAGATGGAAATCGAGCTGCCAACTCAACATCGGCGCATGGATACTTCATGGGTGTTTCAAACTCAACACCCTAATACTGAACTCTTGATACCGCTCTCCAGTCAAACCCTCTCTTCTTCCATTATTCATTTATTTCTTAGGGTTTTGCCATAGGGTGCAGGCACTCAACAGAGAGAGACAGAGAGAGGGAAAGTGAGAATCCTCCCGCCTCCCCCGACCCGGGGAGGATTGCCACACTGCAATCCCTTCTCCTCCACTCTCCTGGGATTTTGAACATGCACCATGACCAGCCACTGGGTCCAGGACTAGAACCACCATCAGCCATGTGGGAGTCCAGCGCCTTCACCATGCCACCCACCGACCCCTTTTAGGCTTTTCTTAAGAAATGAGACCTTCATTGCCCACTGGCTTTAGCAAAACCCAGGAGATATTCTTGCCCTTCCTTTTAACTTTCCCTCTAAATCTAACCTAACTGCAAGCCCTGTTGATCCTTCCTTTAAGATGTTCGCTCACCTCATCCCTTGGTATCTGTGGGGAATTGGGTCCAGGACCCCCCCGACCAGTTCCATGGGTACCAAAATCTGTGAATGAATGCTCAAGTCTTTTCCATGACATGGCATGGGATTTGCATATAACTCTGCACATCCCCTGCATGCTTTCAGTCCTCTCTAGACGGCTAATAGTGCCCAACACTGTGCCAACACATCGCCTCATTTGTGCAGATTCGGCTTAGTACTTGGTGCGTCCCAGCAGATGCGGATATGGACTGCCCCTGCAATCCACATCCACTCTCGTCCACCTTCTCTGTCACCAGCCAAATCCCAGCTGCCGCCATCTTTCTCCAGGACTAGTTGGGCCCATCCTCTATTCAGGAGTCAGAAAGAACCTAAACGTCAAGGAGGTCATTGCACCGCTCTGATGGAAGTCCCTCAATAGCTCCCTCTGGCTTTCGGACGATCACGCAGGCGTCTTGCCTTGGCCTGCAAGGTCTTCCATGACTGAACTCCTTCCCGTCTTGCAGACCTCAGCCCTTCCCGCCCTCCCCCTCACACCACGGTCTATGAGGGGGCCACGTGAACCGCCATTCAGACCCTCCTGAGCACTCACCTCTGGCTGGACCTGGTCCCTTTGCGGAAGCTGGGCTGCTCCTCTCCTAGCCTGGGCCTCTCCTCTCAACCTTCCTTCACTCGCCTGGCTCCTCAGTTTGAAGTTCTTAGCCCGCTTTCAGGCGGGTCTTCAAACCCTTAGCACTCACCTACATCAGCCCTTCCTGGGCTCTTGTGCATTCTTTTTATTAAAGTCTGTCCCCAACAAAGGTGGTGATCATGTCTGTCTCCACCACGGCCTTTTTTTTTTTTTTAAAGAGATATTTTTGCAATAGGGCACATGTGCTCACTGGACAGCAATGGAGAGACTGAAAGTGAGAAATCAACCCCCCAGGGGGGTGGCCATGCCATCATCCCTTCTCCATTCTCCTCTTGGGATCCTGGCACACATGCACACGAGCCCAGCATAAGTTTTAAGATGCCAGGTCTGGGACTCGTACTGCAGTCGACTACCTGGGAGTCCAGTGACTTAATCCTTACAGCATCTGTTAGTCCCCACCGTTACTGTCTTAGTAATACCTGCACGTATAGGCTCTCAGCCACGCTGACCGAATGAACTGACGGGTCGTGGGATGTGGGGGTGCTGAAGGAAACTATCTTGAGTTGCTGGCCTCTGTAATAATCTAAGGTAGAGCTGGTTTGCAGCCACTCCCGCCCGCACCGTTCCCTCCGCCCTTGGAATGCGCTGGTTTCACGGAGACACAGCCCGAGTGAGTACACATCCGAACGACGATGTCTACATTTTCAACTACTCTCGCTATTTCCTGGAAACAGATTGTGTCTCTCTGATCGTCTATGAAGTTGTTTTTTTTAACTGCCAAAGATCTTGGAAACAAACCAGTCATCTGCATTTCCATTTTTATATCTTAATTTATAAGCCGCACCTTATCATTTCCAAGCGCAGGTTCCGTGTCCCGGCTCTGCCAGTGGCAGGGCTGGGACTCCTCTCCACTCCTTCCTGTCGGGACTTTCCGGCTGGTCAGAGTGAAGAGGAGTGGGGGCTGCCCTAACTCAGGGGGGGCAAAGATGGCCGTAATGATGATTAGGTCACCCCGGTCAGGAGAGAGAGCGGAAGGTGTCTCCGTCCCTGTTTTATAGCAAAGAGTAGAACTGGAGACGGGGGCGCCATGGACCAGGAGCTTCGCCTGCCAGGGGCGTTGCCAGGTCTTGCACCTGCCCTTCTGTCATTCCTCATGCCCAGGGTCTTCTCGGGATGCTGGGCAGGCCCTCCCAGCCTTGGTGCTGGTCACATTCTTTCTCGTACCCTGCCAGGGGTCTCCGTCCCACTGTGACAACCCGCAACGTCTCTAGACACGGCCAAGTGCCCCCCCCCCATCACCACTGATTGAGAACCACTGTGCCGGGCTGTACCTCTGACTGAGACTCAGGCAGAGGCACGTGGGCCAGCCAATGGGGTGGAGGACAAGGTAGCTGATCTTGCATGGCCAACTGGGCAGTTTGAGTCCCGGATCCGGTGGCCTGAGGGACACAACAGGTGCACGTGTGCGCAGGCCCAGAGTTCCAAAGGGAGAATGGAGGAGAAGGGATTGCAGAGCAGCCATCCCCCCAGGGGGATGCTTTTCCTTCTCGGTTTGTCTCCAGCCAGCACAGGTGCCCTGTAACAAACTTGAAACAGAAGCCCCCCAAACAGGCACAGAGGTCCAGAAAACTCACCGCCCTTCACTGCCTGCCCCCACTTTCTTACAGTCCCAGGGCTTACCTGAGAGTTCTCCCGCCCTGAGTCAGAGACAGCTTGGCCAAGCACCCAGGGCCTCCTGTGTGGCATGAAGTGCTTTTGATGCTGCAGCACATGTGACCCCTAAGGGGAGACACAGCCAGTGCTTCCCAGTGAGGAAAGAGAGGCTTAGGGAGCCCCCAGCTTGCTTGGATCACACAGGGCAGTGGCACCCTGGGTGCAAACCCAGAGCTGCCTAGTTCTGGGGCCAGAGTTCATCTGCACCACCTGCCCCCTCACCGTTACTCAGGTGAGAGGCAGAGTTCTTTACTGTCTTCCACCCCGGGCATGGACCTTGCTCAGTAAGTATCTGTGGGAGGCCAGCCCCCAGCAAGGGGGCCTTCCACCAGTTCTCAGGTGCAGTCTTCTCGGCTGGGTTCTCTGTGTGACCCTGGGCAAGACCAAAGCGCCTCTGAGCTCAGTTTTCCCAGTCGTGAAATGGGTCGATGTGAGAACTGAACATGATGAATACAGACTGGGTTTTGCAGCCGCGTGCTGGATAAACGGGGACCTGCAGTGAGGCCTCAGTCCCTCTGGAAAGCTGGCTGCCACGACCGAGCTGTCTGGCGTTCCTGGATCTCTGTGCTCGGCCTGTGACTCGTGCACCTTTGTGGGGTTACTGCTTGAGGGTTATCTGCTCACAGGGATGGCGGAAGAAGCGGTAATATTGGTGATTTTCGCATGGGGTACTGTCTTTTCTGGGCTTCTGCTAATGGTTCTCCTTGGTTGTAGATGATGAAGGTGCCCCAGCCTCCCCTCGGAGCAGTTTCAGCTATTATCTGTAATTCAGGTTCAACTTTGGTCATTTTTCTTCCATTTTCCCAGATGCACAGACGCGTGGTAAGAATCAGGTTCACTGCGCAAACCTGCGGTCAGAGGGGTGCAGCGGAGCCCCGTTGCCACCGCCATCCCAGCTCCAAGCCCTCCCCCCAGTCACTGTAGCTCTGGCTTCAGTTTCTCATCCCGAGATTCCGGATATTAACTACACCTGCTTAGAGGATTAGTGGAGTTTGACGGGGCCATGAGGTTCTGACGCCCTCAATCTGAACTAACAATTTTTAATCCCTTGCCGTCTAATTGGGGAAGGGACAGCCAGGGAAAACTTTCCAGACTTTTCAGCTGTGCTGCAAGCAGCAGGCAGGCCCCAGGGGATCAGGGCGTGGGCTACTGGAACAGCTGAACCTTCACATTCCTGCAATCCCGAAGGGTGGCTGGCTCCAGCAACCCCGGGGTCTGGGCAGTCTGGGCAGTCGGACCCACTGCCCCACCGCAAAAGGCAAACGAAGCCCCCCCAGCCGAAGCCCTTCCTTTCTCCTCTTCAAAATGAATCAAGTCTGCACTTTTCAGAGCTCGGGTCGGCCCCTCTCCCAGTAGCCACAGTTCTCCTCGCCTCTACTTCTCTGTCCATTCATGTATTTCCTGGCCCTCCAGAAGGAGCCCAGCGCCTCCGGGAATGATTTCGAGCCTGTGGGGGGACTGCAGGGGTCTGCTGCTCCACCTCGTAGCAGGCCCCTAGGGGGCCTCGGTGCAGGCCGGCCCCTCCCCCAAGGTCACCGAACTTTTCCCTGGCTCCCAGCTCCCGGGGAGGGTCGCGTGGGGCGCAGGGGCGGCGCGAGGCCCCCTCCCCGCGGGCGGGGCCCCGCCGTGCATTCTCCCTTGGCCGGAGGG